TAGAGTTAGTCGTACTGTTTTTAGTTAGGTTGATATCAGGCTAAGAATTAAAATAGTAGGATTAGTAAAAAGTAAAAGTTCTGATGGTAGAAGTTGTGTTGGTTAGAAGTTGCGATGGACTAGTAAAAAGTAGAAGTTTTGATAGTAGAAGTTAGGTTGGTTAGAAGTTGCGTTGAATTAGTAAAAAGTATAAGTTCTGATAGTAGAAGTTGTGTTGGTTAGAAGTTGTGTTGGATTAGTAAAAAGTAGAAGTTCTGATGGTAGAAGTTGTGTTGGTTAGAAGTTGTGTTGGATTAGTAAAAAGTAGAAGTTCTGATGGTAGAAGTTGTGTTGGTTAGAAGGTGTGTTGTCAGAAGTTGTGTTGTCAGAAGTTGTGTTGGTCAGAAGTTGTGTTGGTCAGAAGTTGTGTTGGTCAGAAATTGTGTTGTCAGAAGTTGTGTTGGTCAGAAGTTGTGTTGGTCAAAAGTTGTGTTGTCAGAAGTTGTGTTGTCAGAAGTTGTGTTGTCAGAAGTTGTGTTGGTCAGAAGTTGTGTTGTTAGAAGTTGTGTTGTCAGAAGTTGTGTTGGTCAGAAGTTGCGTTGGTCGTTGCGTTGGTTTTGTACAGAATGATGAAGGTTAGATGCTTAGAGGCTGCTGTTTGAACTATAACAGTAGGAATAGTGACGGTCGTGATGTAAGAGTTACAAAATAGCAGTATGAATTACTGTGGAATTAATGTACAACTGAGTTGTTAGTGAGAAGTTATTAATGATGTTGTGTTGATGATTTATAATAAATAAATGATGTTTGACAAATTATTATGATGAGATGTTGATGACGAGACATTGAGATGCTTTTGAGATGTTGTTAAATTGAGATGCTTTTGAGATGTTATTAATTTGAGATGTTGTTAACTTGGATGTTGTTATTACATTCATGGTTGTGTCGCATACATTGCATTTTTGAGATGGAGCTTATGCTCGTTGAGATGGCCTGTATTGGCGAACTTTGAGATGAAGGCTTAAGCCTTGTTGATGCCTCTATTAATTTGAAATTTTTTGAGATGGGAGTTCTGCTCAAACGGCACCACATGCATTTGCATAGTATTGAGTCGCATTATATGATTGCATAAAGAATTGTATTTTGATGTTGATGAATGTGTATATACGTTGTAATTATTGTTGATTATGAGATGAGAAGTGGTGATGTTATTGATCTAATTTAATATATTAATTATCATGCGCTTTATTATATTGTTAGATATCTCACCCCTTCTATTTGAATGTTGCCCTTATGTTGGTAACGTGCAGGTAATCGAGAGTGAAGGTTGTATACCATCGACAGTTCGAGTCGGTGTCATTGCTCTGATATGTAACACTCGGGGGATGAACGCTTGCTGTTTTTGATTGTTGATTTTTCAGTTATTGAATGTTAAATTGATTATTATTAAATATGTGTTATTTTGAAGTTGTTGTATTGTTGTTAAAGATGTTATTAAGAATTCCGCTACGTAGATGTTGAGTTATTTAATTAAAGATGTTATGATGATGGTTCATCCGATGTTTTGAAAGTGTTATATATCCACGATGAATGCAATGAATTTGATAGAATAATTTGTGACGTCCCGATTCGTGTGCACAAACAATTTTTATAACTCAGATTTATTTATATAATTGTTTGGGGTAGAATTGGGGTGTTACAAAAAGTCATCTGAACTGCAAGAGAAAAAAGTATGTGGTTCGGTTTGGTTAGGTTGGATTTTAGAAACAAAACTAAATCGAAAAAAGCCAATGTATTTTGGATTGGTTCGATTTTTTACAAAAAATAATTGAGTCATACATACACATATAAATGACAACATGACTTTGTATTTAGTCAATCATGCATTATCAAATAACAATAGAATCCATCATATTTGAACAAAAACTTTCCATTTAACATACAAAAATAAGATTATAGAAAAGTGGAATAAAAAATATAATATAGTAACATGAAACAATATCAAAAACATTATAATGAAACAGAAAAATATAGGAGATGAAAGGTTAGAGAAGATGAAAAAAAAAAGATAGGAGAGATCAGAGAAAAAGATGTAAATTAAAAACGTAATTGGAAGAGAGAACTATAGAATAAAAATAACAAAATGAAAAGAAATAACATAAGATATGGGAGACTAGATAAAAAGATGTGAGATGTACATGGAAAAGAAGATGAGTAGAAGACACAATACCGCTATTAGAGTTTTGACAAGACTTAAATTGAAACCTTAAGTGCGAGAAAGAGAAAATCATCTCATATCATCCCAATGCATCAAGATCACACATTAGGGTTGGTTCTCATTTCTACTCTCTCCTATCTTTAAGTTTGTCCTTGAGGGATCACCAAGCACCCTAATTGTGTATCTTGTACATATGTGTCTTATATTTTACTAACTTCTAACCAAAATCCAAAAAATAGTCATGTTTATTTTTGTTTCTTTTAGAAGATATGATTTTCAATCAAGAAGTTAAGATGATGGTTCTCAATTAGGGATGTGAGTTTTTCAGGTCAAATAATGGTTCTCAAAGGCCTATTCTTTAAAATTATGATCTATATTCTTAGGTCACACCATCCTCAAGCTTCATTCAGCATAGTTAAGATGAGTTTGGTTGCTTAATTCTCAAGACTCTTCGAGATAGGTTCATGTGTTTATTTCCATGCCTTCTCTGACGAGAAATCTCAAGTTCTGACAAGCGTGAGCATGATTTAATCAATATTTCACCATCTTAAGTTCATATGTGCCCAAGAGTGTCTTGGGTTGTGGAAAATATCATGTTTGCAAGTTGGTTCAAAGTTGGGTTGACAAAAAGTCAACATTTGCAAGTTCGAGTTCAAATGATCATAACTTCTTCGTTATTCAATATTTTTGATCGATTCTTTGAGCATATGGATCTCTTTGACATCATCTACAACTTCTTTTTACAAGTCAAGAGCTAATTATATGCAGAAGACTATCAAAAGTTTGAGTATATTAGAGGTCGTTTTGAAGACTTTGACCTATTTTCAAGTGATATTCGTCCAACTTTCGAGGATCGTCATTCTTTTAATTCTCAACATTTTGAGATGATTCTTTTTGTAATGTATCACAAGTGTCATTGTCTACAAGTTTGTTTCAAGGAGCGGGAGCAGATTGTGCTTGGAAAGCCATGAAATTTATTGAAATATTACGTGTCATTTTTTATTTAGTATTTCCATAATATCTAATTTCAATTAATGTCGTGGCTACTTTCTTAAGATGTTGATTTCTTGCGTTGAGGCTTAGGTACCAAGTTAAAGTATTTTTTCTATGGATGGAGATCTCACCAACTTTTCAAATGAAATTTGTCATTTCTTGAATTTGTGAAGTGTTTCTCTCAAGTTCGATTCAAAAGGAATTTTTGTTCATGATTTGTGTGAAATTCAAGGTTTCGATTCGAACATATTCCAATTTCCTCAATGGGATGGATTCAAAGAAGTTCAAGTTCTAGGAAAATTTCTTCAAACAAATGTTACTAGAAATTTAAGGCATTCTTCGAGATATTATTTCAAGTCCTTTTCAAAGGTTTAAAACAAAATTCCAATTCTATCTTTTTTCCAACTTCAAAAGAATTATTCCAAGACATGGACATTCAAAAGAAGCTCATTTGCCAATTTTTCAAGTTACATTCAACATGACAAATGATATTTCTTTCCAAGCACATTCATAATGCAATACTTCTTATGGCCTGAAACTTTCAAAGTACTTCATCAGGTTAAAATTTCAAACACTTTTCAAGGCATTCATCAAGAAAATTCAAAAAAAAATTGACCAAATATTTCAAGAATATTACACCATCCATGGCTCAAGAATTCCTAAATTCACAAGCTTAAATTTTCAAACAAGTTCACACTATGTTGCCCATTTCGTCAAGACAAATTCATTTCAATTTTGAATGACACAAGAAGAATGCAAGGATTTTTTCGCCTAAAAGATTCAAATTGTATCATCATGTTACACAAGAATTCCAAGTCACGTCATTTCCATACAAAGGCATTTAAAGTTTCTATACTAAAAAGCTTCAAGGTACGTCGTCAAGTCTGAGTTTACAAAGAAAAGATTTTGGTTCTATGATTGTTCAAATTCAAAGAATAAAAGAGATTCAAAAATTTCAAGTCTCCTATGCCTAAATTCTTATGTCCATCACCAAGTCTACAATGTTACCAGCCTTTTCATGACATTTCTCTAAAGCCAAGCCTTGAATAAATGAAGCATTTTCGGATTGGGCTTTTGACAGAAAATTGCAAGGTTTGTTTGAACCAATATTTCAACACAAGCAGAAATTTCCAACCACATAATCCTTAGTCTCTATAAAAGCATTCATTCTGACACAGATTCACAGGATTCATTCACTGACAAATTCAGACAAACTCAGAGCAAATAGAAATACTAAATAGAACTCACCTGAGCCCTTGCCAGAACCTCCCTGAGACCGCCGGAATTCGACCTTATCGCCGAAAAACGCAACTCACCACCCTTGCCTTGACCGGAAATCGCGCCTCACCGAAAGAGTTCCGATCGCCTTGCCGGAACCCGTCGTTCCGCCACCACCTCCGCCGTTTCTTCTTCTTTTAACTTCAGAAGGTTGAGAACTTTCCATCTTAAATGAATCCTCCCTCTTCTTTATGATTCTGTGACTGTGTGATGTAGTTTTATACAAAAAAAAAATTAATTAGTTATTTATAATAGGTGAAATAACAGGTGTCAATTAATAGTAAGAGTTTAATTTATAATATAAGAAAACTCAATCTACCCAAAATCCCTATTTTATCCCGTTGCTCCAAAATCACAACATGTGGATAATATATTTGGGGTTCTAATTTGAAATGTTCCAATTTTTAATATTCTTCTATGAATTTCTCGTGTAACCTCTCTCTCCAATTTCCGTTAACCTGCCCCTCCAATCTCCCATATTCATTATTTGTTTTGTAACTGTTTTCATAATCAATGTGTTGATTTCCAATGGATGTGCATTCCACTACTTCCACTACTTTTTCAATCTACGACGTCCTTCACTTCGTGGAAAGAAATCATTGATTTCCATCTTCAACCGCCATGGCCATACAATTCATCCTCATTTGCTGCAATCCCATTGACAATAGTAGCAGCTGCTTATTGCATCCTCTTTTCCTACGTCGGTATGAATGATCTATTCGTTAACGATAATTCATATCAAATGAGTGATTTCAACGTAACTCGACATGTAAAATCTATTTACAATACCAGTTTCATGCATTGCATTGCATTACATTATTTTGTTCCTTTAAAATGTCAAATCCTTTGTGATTTGAATGTAATGTTTTTTCTGTGATGAGCAGCTTCTGCTGGACTTGGATTTCTGCAATTCTTCAATCTAAACAGCAACCAATCAATGGTCATCGTCAGCTTTTCTCTCTTCATCGGTCAATGTGTTCCACAGTATTTCAATGAATATTTGGCCCTATCTAGACATGGCACAGTCACCGGCTCTTCTTCGGTACGTACTCAATATCTTACCAGAAAAATTTACTTATGCTAGCCTATAAATAATCCAATCTTTGATTCTGATTACAATTTTGTCATAAAACACAGTTCAACAATATAGTGCAAGTGATTTTCTCATCTCCAGCAACTGTGGAAATTATGCTCTGTAAGATCGACAAGTCAGGTTGCTTGTCTGGAAAATCAGTCGATAATGAAGTTGAATCCTTAGAAAGTCCTCTCGCTGATAGTATACTTAATAAAAATGCGGAACTTTTATTATTCGAAGAACATCTTGATACTAATTTAGTTGGAGGGATTTGTAAGCAAGCTGTGGAGAAGTTGGATAAGTCGAGACTAGTTGCATCAAGCTTTCTCTACAAAATTGTGTACAACCAGATGATTTATATTCCATATATTCCTTTCCGGGAAAAGTTAGAAGAAATAATTCCGAAGGAAGCAGGAGCCAAATGGGTTGTAAGCGTACAGATTTTCCATCCTTTCTTGAGGTTAATAGTATAACTTTCTTTACTGAGACAATATTATTCTATTGCAGCTTCCTTCACACACTTACCCATGCTTCAGTTGATATTTTATGGGTTCTCCAACAATACAGGAAACGTGACAAAGTCATTGTTCAGATTGATTTCAAATTTTAAATTTTGATTTCTATAGATTTGTTGGTTGGTAATCATTATCTTTTAATCTAAGGACCAGAATACAAAACTAATTTCATTTTGAATTTTCTATAGCCTGATGCATTTTTGTGCTATTGACAGTGGGTAGAGATGGTAGAAGTTTTGTGTTTCTTTCTCTTGTGCACAAATGGACGGCGAGAGGCTTTTGTGTCAAAAATGGATTTGCTTTGGTACTAATCATTTAGTTGCAACTGATAATTGTCATAATAATCCGATAAATTTAAGGTTTACTATAGTTAATTAATGTTCCTAACAAAACTCAGATTAGACCTCCTGATTATCATGCCGGTGGAAATATATATGATGGGGTTCTATCTTCACAATAATGCGGAAGTGGCAACATTGGCAGCTCAGGCTGGAGCGGCTAGGAAAGTGCTAATTTTAGATTGGGTAATGTCTTTACTCATCTATCTCTGTAATTATGCAATTTTCTATGACACTTTATTATTAGTATTTCAAAAACAGTTTGAAGATTTCATAGAAGTGTTGAACTGGAGAAATTCTTGTGTGTTGAATTATCAGCAACAAATGATATCGAAGCTTTCAAAACCGAAGTAGAACAAAAGGGTTATGATTTAAACGAGGCAGGGTTTTGGTATTGTAGAAAAATTGTATCAAAGAAGATGTGTTACGAAAAGAGAACACCCCTTATGGTTGCTTCTTTATTTGGAAGCACTAGGGTTGTCAAATATATCATTGACACAAACATGGTTGATGTCAACACACAAACTGGTCGTGAAAATGTCACTGCTTTACATTGTGTTGGTGGTGGTGGCTCTGAATCAACTCTTGAAGTTGTTAAGCTCTTAATTGATGATGGAGCTGATGTTAATTCCCTTGATGAAATGATTAAGCATAAAATTTAAGTGTCTAATTCAAAAGAATTATTAGGCAGTGAGAAGAAAAAGTATCCTATTGATATATCATTGCGTGATATAAACAATGGTATTTTTGGAACAGATGAGTTTAGAATGTATAGTTTCAAGGTGAAGACTTGCTCAAGGGGTTACTCTCATGATTGGACTCACTGTCCATTTGTTCATCCATGTGAGAATGCTAGAAGGAGGGATCCAAAGAAGTACCTTTATAGTTGTGTTTCGTGCCCCGAGTTTCGTAAAGAGACATGCCACAACAAAGATGCGTGCGAGTATTCACATGGTGTTTTTGAGTCCTTTCTCTGTCCTTTACAATACAGTACAAGGCTTTGTAAAGATGAGATAAGATGTTCTAGAAAAGTGTGTTTCTTTGCACATAAACATGAAGAGTTGAGGCCTTTGTATGCTTCTACTGGTTCAACTATGCCTTCAAAAGAGTCATTACCAACTTCAAATGTTTCAACTCCACTTATGTTTCCATTAATAGTTGCTTCAACTCCCAACAGTGTAACCTTGTGGCAGAATGAAATTAGCCTTACTCCACCTTCTTTGTAGCTTCCTAATAGGCAGTTGAAAAGTGCTTTGAGTGAAAGAGATTTGTATCAAGAAACAGACTTGTTACACGGTGTTTCAATACACCATCGACTCCTACTCAAGTGAAATCTATGAGTAGGCTTCAGTTGAAACAAAAGAGGAACCATGTTCAAGCAAGTTATCCTTTCAACAACTTGGTTTCCTCTCCTCTAAGAAAATCATCAGCTTTTGGATTTGATTCTTCTGTTGTTATGGCTGCAGCAGTGGTGAATTCAAGATCTTCAGCATTTTCAACATGAAGCCAAAGTTTTATGGACCGCAGTATGGTAAGACACCATATCAGTTGTCAACTTTACCCTATTTATTAAAATAAAAACTTTTACTACATGATTATTTTGTTGATTAGGAAACTTGGTATATTGTAAAGAAAATCCTTTTGAAAAAGTTGCACAGGTTATTGGACTTAAATCTGGTGACGATTGCGTTGATAGTTATGACATAAATAATGAAGTCCCTGACGATTTCTTATTGATTTGCATTTCTCTCATATACTGCTTCTTATTTACTGTTATGTAATTTGATGGATTAAAACATGAATTTAATGTTATGTAATTTTACTTTTATGAAATTGTGTGCTGGTGTTTATCTGTCAAAATGCAGTTGAAGGCCTTCTAGCAGTGGTGGCAACTTGCAATGACTTACGTGAGCTTCGAGTTTTTACTGTGGATGTGAGGGAGGAAGCTGAAGGTCCTGTTTCTCAGGTTGGCTTAGAAGCCATTTCACGAGGTTGTAGAAAATTTGAATCGAAATTGTTTTTCTGTTAGAACGCAATTGTGGTTTCAATGTTGAAGAACTGTCCAAATCTTGTGGTGTTTCGACTTTGTATAATCTGCTCCAAACCAAACTGAATTTAGTTTCTATGAAAACAGACTCAATAATATACAGAAAGTCTTAAATCACAGTTCCTTGCATCACATGCCGTCACGCATCAGCAAGATTTCATGCAAAAAGTTTTTCATTATAGAATGATCAGTACAAGTGATTAACTTTTTAATGAAATTTTTTAAATAAAGAACGTCTTTTGCATTCAAATATTCCGCTCCTTGTCTTTCTTTTTAATTTTTGGAAAAATATGAGTTTTTATTTTTTCTTTTTTAATCTAAAAGTAAAAGTAAAAATAAAAATAATCATGCAAAATATGTCCCCTGTTAATCCCAGAAATTATCGAGAATGATTCTGCTATGGCTCTTTATGACTTTGAAAATTCGATATATCAAGTTGAAGAAGAAGCTAAGGAAGATTGCGAACTTCCTGAAGATTTGGCTAGATTGGTAAGGCAAGAAGAAAAGGTCATTCAGTCACACCAAGAGACTACTGAGCTGATCAACTTGGGTACCGAAGAGGTCCGAAGAGAAGTCAAGATTAGGGCCGCTTTATAAGACAATGTTAAGAGAAGATTGGTTGAAATGATCTGTAAGTATGCAGATATCTTTGCTTGGTCTTATGAGGATATGCTTGGGCTGGATACAAATATTATTGCGCACAAACTGCCTCTTAAAGAAGAGTGTCCTCCTGTTAAACAAAAGCTTCGCAGAAATCATCCTGAGATATCTAAGAAGATCAAAGAGGAGGCTCTGAAACAGTTTGATGCTCGTTTTTCGAAAGTAACTTCTTATCCGCCGTGTATCACGAATATTATATCAGTGCCGAAAAAGGATGGTAAAGTCAGGATGTGTATGGACTATAGGGACTTGAACAGAGCAAGCCCAAAAGATGATTTCCCATTACCACATATTGATATTTTGGTTGACAATACTACTCAAGCGAAAGTGTTTTCCTTCATGGATGATTTTTCTGGCTATAATCAAATCAAGATGGCACCGGAAGACATGGAGAAAACTAATTTTATTACACCTCAGGGAACATTTTGTTACAAAGTCATGCCCTTTGGTTTGAAAAATGCAGGAGCAACTTATCAACGTGTAATGGTCGCTCTCTTTCAAGACACGATACATAAGGAGATTGAAGTATATGTTAATGATATGATTTCCATGTCCCATAAAGAAGAGGAACATCTTGTCCACTTGCTGAAATTGTTTGAAAGATTAAGGAAGTTCAGACTGAGGTTGAATCCTAATACATGCACCTTCGGGGTGAGGTCAAGAAAATTACTGGGCTTCATCGTAAGCGAAAAAGGAATTGAGGTTGATCCTAGCAAGGTAAAAGTTATACAAGAAATTCCTTTGCCGACAAAAGAGAAATAAGTTTGTGCTTTTCTCAGGAGATTAAACTACATTGCTAGATTCATTTCTCACCTTACAACCACTTGTGAACCAATTTTCAAATTGTTGAAAAAAGATCAAACGAATAGGTGGAATAACAATTTCCAAGTGACATTTGATAAAATTAAGGAATATTTGATGGAACCTCCAATTCTTTCGCCCCCGGTTGAAGGAAGACCTCTAATCATGTACCTAACAGTGCTAGAGAACTCAATAGGGTGTGTACTGGGGAAGCATGACGAGTCTGGTCGAAAAGAGCATGCAATATACTACCTTAGCAAAAATTTTACCGACTGTGAAACAAGATACTCACTGCTCGAGAAAACTTTATGCATTTTGGCATGGGCTGCTCGCCGACTATGACAATATATGTTAACTCATACTAATTTTTTAATCTCTAAGATGGATCCAATCAAGTACATCTTTGAAAAGCCAGCTCTCACGGGAAGCATAACCTGTTCGCAGATGATTTTAACTGAATATGACATCCAGTATAGTACCCAAAAAGCTACCAAAGGTAGTGTGTTGGTTGATCATCTTGCTCACCAGCCCATGGAAGACGAAAATCAGTCAATGAATTTTGAATTTCATGATGAAGACATCATGTACATACGGGATTGTAACATCCTAGGCCCAGAAGAAGGACCTGAACTAGGACCGCGATGGACGATGGTGTTAAATGGTTCCTCCAATGTGTTGGGTAATGGTGTCGGTGTTGTGATTACTTCTCTTGAAGGTTTCCATACTCCTTTTACCGCCATAATTTGCTTTGATTGTACAATTAATATGGCTGAGTATGAAGCTTGTATCTTTGGGTTAGAAGCTGCTATTGATTTACGAATCAAGATCTTGGAAGTATATGGGGACTCTGCTCTTGTGATTAATCAAATCAACATAGATTGGGAGACTCGTCACCCAAATTTGATTCCATATCGTGAGCATGTGTTGAAGTTGACCCCTTATTTTGATGAGATTGCTTTCAAGCATATTCCAAGGGAAGAGAATAACTTGGAAGACGCCTTGGCTACTCTGTCATCCATGTTTAAAGTTAGATGGGCAAATGAAGCCCCATCTATCACAGTTTTAAGTTTGGATGAGCCAGCATTTTGTTATGAAATAGAAGAGGATGTTGTTGATGAGAAACCATGGTTTTACAATATCAAGAGATATCTTAAGACGGAAGAATATACAGAGGATTCTCCTGTCACTGATAAGAAGACTATGCGGAAATATGCAACTAAGTTTTTCCTTGGTGGAGATGTTTTGTACAAGAGAAACTATGATTCTGTTTTGCTCAGATGCGTGGATAGACACAAATAAAATATGATCATAGAAGAAATTCACGAAGGTTCCTTTAGAACGCATTCCAGTGGGCATACTATGGCCGAGAAAATCTTGAGAGTAGTTTATTATTAGTCAACAATGGAAAACGATTGCTACAATCATTCTAGGATCTGTTACAAGTGTCAGATCTATGCCGATAAGATGCATGTGCCGCCCAATCCTCTGAATGTCTTAACTTCACCTTGGCGCTTCACAATATGGGGAATTGATATGATTGGCCGAATTGAGTCGACTGCTTTCAATGGACATCGCTTCATTCCGGTGCCCATCGACTACTTCACTAAGTGGGTCGAAGCAGTATCTTTTGCCAACATCACTAAACAGGTGGTTGCTCGTTTCATTAAGCATAATATCATTTATCGATATCGGGTTCCCGAGAAGTTTATTAACGATAATGGTTCTAATATCAACAATAAGATGATGAAAGAGCTGTGTGAGAGCTTTAAGATAAAGCATCACAATTCTTCTCATTACCGTCCTAAAATGAATGGCACGATTGAGGCAGCTAATATGAATATTAAGAAGATTGTGTAGAAAATGGTTGTCACCTATAAGGATTAGCACGAGATGTTGCCATTTTCTTTACATGGTTATCGTACCACTACGTGCACTTCGACTGGGGCAAACCCCTTCTCGCTTATTTATGGCATGGAAGCAATCCTGCTTGTGGAAGTGGAGATTCCTTCTTTGAGGATAATGACAGATGCACAGTTGGATGAGGTTGAATGGGTTCAGAATAGATTTGATCAACTGAATCTCATTGATGAGAAGAGATTGATGGCTATTTACCACGGACAATTATACCAAAGAAGGATGAAGAAAGCTTTTGACAAGAAGGTACATCCACAGAATTTTTAAGCTGGTGATCTCGTGCTGAAAAGAATCTTGCCTCCCAATAATACATATGTTAGGGGTAAACGCGCTCCTAATTATGAAGGACCATATGTTGTAAAAAAGTCTTTTCAGGAGGATCTATGATGGTTACAACTATGGATGGAGAGGATTTCTCTCACCCCGTCAATGCAAGTGTAGTGAAAAAGTACTTCACGCAAAATGACCGTTGAGTTGACTGGCTCAGGCAAAAAAAAGCATCCAGGCGAGCCTAAGCGAGCATAGGTTCGGAAAAAAGTTAGGGACAAAAGAAAGAGTGAATGAGTGAAAAATAATCATACACCCTCTAAGTTGAACCTGTCAAAGGGAATTTATGCAAAAAAGGGTATCCCGGTGGATTGAAACCCCGAAAGGGAAATCCAGGCAAAAGTTAGGCATTAAAAGCGAATACTACAATTTGTGTTGCATCTGTAATATCAACTTACATTGCTATTGGGTTAGCTTGGGAAGTATCAGTTCAATCAGCTATTCATAAAGCAAGATACTAAGGAGCTTTGAGGCCATAAGAGTTGTAGCAGAGTTGTACTCGATAAACCCTCACTCATATTGCCATCTTTGTTTTCTCCTCTGTATACTTTATATGCAATTTCCACTTTTCAGGAATTGCTTCTTGATGTAAATGCATATTTACAAGCCAATCAATCAATAAAAATGTTTTTGAAATATGCCAATTTTTTTATTTTACTATTTTGATTGCAAAAGACGTTCAACATTTTGATAAACTTTGCATTTAAAAACGTTAAAAGCTTTACATCACATGATACCGATAAATAAAATTGCTTAGAGTTTCAGGTGTCTGATATGACGGCTAAGACAGACATCCCACACTGGGGCATGTTGTTATGATTTATGATTTATGCATAATGGGATCCAATATCCCCGGTGAATGCTAATTTCTACTCAGGACATAATCATGTATCACCAAGAAATGTTGTACTCTCGTTTGAACACACTCTTCTTCTTCATTGCAATATGGTCTTTATAGTTTTATTGAAGGATTATCGACATCCTCCCCTTGAAGTCAACATTGTGCAGTTTCCCCAGTGAGATTAGCTCTCGTTTTCTACGTGAACTATCTCCAGTATGGTTGGTGTTGTTGATATCATTATCCAAATCTTCTCTGTTACTCAGTGGAAAAGGTAGTTTTTATCCCCAGTTGAAGCCGAACTTCAGGGATATTCTGGATTAATTTGCCTTTATCCCCTAATGAAGCAAGCTTTCTCTCCCCAGCATGGTGTGCATGATGGTGCCATTCATAATTCTTCCATCCCTGGTGATAGAAGTTTGTTGAGATGTCCCTAGCGGAGCTTCCATCCCAAGATGCTTGTTTCTTCTCAAGTAAAGATTTTCATCTTGGTGGTGTTATCCCCGGTGAGGTTGATGTTTGACTCTCCGAGAAGTTTGTTTTTCCTAGGGAATTTTGCCCTATCAAGTTTCTGAAAAGATGATGATTGATAATCAGGCCTGCTTATTCCCCAGTGGGTCAAGTCCCCAGCTTTTTCTAAGCGTTGATGTTTGTCGTTCAAAAGTCTCTTATCTTCAGTAGAAGAGTATTGCTGGAGAATTCTCCAAGTGGAGTTTATCATCTCTAGTTTGATATCCCTAAGGTGGTCTGAATAGAATTCTTTTTGTTCAAAAATTTATGTGACCCCCAGAAAAAGATTTTGTTCCCAGTGAAGTTTTCCTCATCTGGAGGGGATTGAATTTGTTCCTCAGGGAGTTGGAAGTTTGATCAGAATTCAAGAACTTCACTGAACTGCAATTTATTTTTACAGTATTCTCCCCAGGAAGTTACTTCCTTATTGATATCGATCTTTAGAGGCTAGTGGTTCCAAATCTTGGTTCCCCTATTGAAATTCAGATTGTCTTTTCTCTATAGAAGATCATATGTGTAAAGATAATCGTTCAGAAGTTTTTGGTTTTCCCAGCAGCCGATTATTGATGTGTTGTCCCTAGTGCATTGCTAAACATGCATCATTACATTGCATCTACTAAAACACGTATCATTTCCATTGTATGGAGCATTGCGTCATAAAAAAATTCAAACATGCATAAGTATAAGCCAATTATGTTCACTTGCAGTAACCAGATTAGTATGCACTCAGATTTGAACCATCTCCACAACAAGCCTAGGGTGATCCTATTATGTTTCCCCAACGGAGTCTGTTTTGATTTACCACCAGTTGGGCCTTTGGTATCTTCCATATCCCCAGTAAGTATGTGGTTTGTTCTTGCCCTTGCAAACCCTTGGTTATGATACCCGTGTTTGCTTTTTCCGTCAGAGTAAAAGTAAGAGTCGGCGTTCTGTTTGGGTTCAATGTGGATGTGAATCTCCAGTAAAGTTCTTTCCTCTTAAATCCTTCTTCGATATATCTTTGGTCGATTACGTTGTGTTAGGGTCCTTCTTTGATATCTTTGGTTGAAATTGTTGTGTTAAATTTGTTCCTTCCTTGATATATCTTCGGTCAAGTCCATTGCGTTAGGCCTCTTCCTTCTTTGATATCTTTGGTTGAAATTCCTGTGTTAGATTTCTTCCTTCCTTGATATATCTTCGGTCAAGTCCACTGTGTTAGCTCTCTTACTTCCTTGATATATCTTCGGTCGAGTCTGTTGTGTTAGCTCTCTTCCTTCCTTGATATATCTTCGATCGAGTCCGCTGTGTTAGCTCTCTTCCTTCCTAGATATATCTTTGGTTGAGTCTGTTGTGTTAGCTCTCTTCCTTCCTTGATATATCTTTGGTTGAAATCAATGTGTTAGATTTCTTCCTTCCTTGATATATCTTCGGTCGGGTCTGTTGTGTTAGGTCTCTTTCATCCTTCGATATCTCCGGTCGAGTCTGATGTGTTAGGTCTCTTCCTTCTTTGATATCTTTGGTTGAAATCACTATGTTAGGTTCCTTCCTCGATATATCTTTGGTCGAGTTCGCTTTGTTAGAGCTCTTCCGTCTCCGATATCCCTGGTCGAGTTCGATGTGTTAGATCTCTTCCATCTTTGACATCCTCGATTGAGTTCACTTTGTTAGGTCTCTTTCTTGTTAGATATCTCTGTTAGAGTCCACTGTAACAGATCTTTTTCTTGAGTATCTGATATTTGTCTTGTGTGTCTAACTTTGACCTGACATCCAAGAGATTTACCCAGATAACCACCGTAACCCAAAAAAGCAAAAAAAAAAAAAAAAAAGAAAAAAAACAGAAAACACAGAAAGCCAAAAATATAATAATACCCGGTCGGCCTTAGAGTGTAAATTTTATGGTTCTATTGAGTATCCAATCCTCTTTACCGTGATTGTTCGAAAGGTTATCGCTAATATCACCCTCTGTTTAAAGAAGATTGAATAGGGGCAACTGTTGCACCCCAAAATTTGCCCTCTTCATTTTTCCTTTCATGGCTTATGCTTCATCATACATACTCATACATTCTCATGGTAAGGATTAGGGTATCTTGGTTCCCAAGTTCTTCTACAAGCTATAGAAGATGTTTGTTTGGTCAAATCAATGCAAAAGAGGATCTTATATCTTCAATCTTTAAACTGTCTCAAGCTACAAAGGTTTCTTATATTACAAGGCATCTCATTTGTCCCATATGATCATTAGAAGTTGGAAATTTGCAAAGTTTGGGGAAGAATCATATTTCTACTGTTCATATCTCAAGATTAGGGTTTTGATCAGTTGAAGAGTTTGAGGCTTGTAAAAGTCAAGTGTGTGAGGTATTACCTTCTCATCAACATATAAGACATCTTTGTTCAAATAATTTCTCAATTTATCTAGAAGAATGAGGGCTTTGAAGATTGATCATTATTTCCTAACACAAAGGGTTAAAATTAGGGTTTTGATTTTAATCAGAAGATCTCTGACTTTTTAGACAAGACTTAATGCATGGATCTCTATATGTTGATGAGCACTTATGATTGAAAGATTGGGTGCCAATATTTAGTGAAAGAAGTTCAATTGATCAATAGGGGCAAAATTGTCATTTTAACCAAAAGTCAACCAAAGTCAAAGTTGACCAAGTGGACTTTTGATCAACTATCAATTCAAGTATCATATTTTTATATTTCATGACCATTGGTATCACAAAATCAAGAGAAGAGGTCAAATTGGAGATAACTTGTTCAAGAAGTTATTTGGACATTTAGGAAAACTTTTAAGTCTTTAAGTCTCCACAGCACTGAACTTTGAACATCTATAACTCTCTCATTTTTTATCCAATTAAGGCAAACCCTACATGCTTGGAAAGCTTGAGAAAACACCTACAAGTTTGTCAATGTGTGATGAAGTCCCAAAAATGAAGTATTTTTGAGTTATTAAAGTTAGAAGTTCTGGCCACAAAGAGATGCCAAGTTGCCTTCTCATTGGCAAATCATGCGCGTATTTTGATCAAACACGTGGTGTGCTAAATGTATGAGCTTATTTATTCCAATCTAAGCATCAATTTGAAAGTCTAAAAAGAGCATCTTATAATTTGTCATGGAAGCTGATCATTAAACTTTGAATCACTCAAATTCGCTACCGTCCTTATCAAGATCGATCGTGCATGTTTGGTTTGTTTTTTAGAAGGGTTAAAAACAATTTTAGAGGTGTATAATTGATTCTAGAGTGATTTTAAAGTGTCTTTTAATGCAAAATTGATTCTGCCTCTATAATTGATTTTACTAGAAGCTAAAATTTATAATTTCTGCCTCTAGAATTAATTTTGGATGATTTTTAAATTAAAATTTATTGTTCGACTCTCTTTTACATAAATGTATTCAAACATAATTCAATTATAATAAACTCAATTTTATTAAAATCATTTCTATCAAATTCAATTATGCTAAAATCAATTGTTAATTAAAACACACCCTAATAATATTTTGAGTGTGTCATTGGGTTGGGTGTGGATTCAAATTCCAAAAATAACTAGTACAAAAAAGAGAAGATTTATTAAGCATTTTACATTACTTAAAACAGTGATTCATGTACTTATTCAACTTCTACACAATCATTCATGTACTTATTCAACTTCTAATTTTACAACTTAAAGCCAAATTCAATCACACAAATAGTGCATGCATGAATGAGAATTACCATAACCAAAAACACTATCATCCCTTTCTCACCTCTTCACACTCTAACAGGCTTCTGAAGAACAGCAGATAAAAAAACATGAGCCTCGCCACTCTCAACCTTCTCCCCCACAACCCATTTCAATTTCTTATATCCAAACCTCTCAATCAACCTAGTCAATCCAACTTTCTTCTCTTCACTCCCACAATAAAAATTATCAACCCAAAACAAACCACCAGCCCTCAAAATCCTATCAATATCAAACATCAAAAACTCAAACTTGTCTTGTTTCTCCCCAACATCACCAATGTTGGTTGAAGCACGAATCAAATCAAACACATTGTCATAAAACGGAAACCTATGATCCAAACTCAAGTAAACCGGAAAAAGTCCTCTTGCCGCGATAAACTCATTGAAAGGACCATTAACATTAAGAGTACTAGTAATCACAGTAACATTCCTCTCAGCCATAACCGCCGCAAAAGACCCCGAACCAATTCCAATATCAAAACCTATTCTAATCCCACCATTTCCTAATTGCAAAACATCATCAACAAGAAAATCATTCTTACTCTTAGACTTAACAAATCTTTGATTCTCATATCCATTAACCAAATCAAAGCAATGAACACAATCTCTATTCAGTTTCCTACCATTCAAACACTCGAAACTCTTGCAGTTAAAACCATTCCAGTTCACTGTTTTATTACTAACAGGCTTCCATAGTGAAACCGGAAAAGGATGAAGAAATTTTACCTTAGATGAAACTGATTGTGCGAAACATCTTCTTCTAGGTAAAGGCTCACACTGTTTTTGAATCAGTTTCTCTGCTAAACTCCAATCATCTTGACAATTTCCAAACACATTGTAATTCATGTAACGAGACAACAAATCAGAAGCTTTCTGGCATGAATGACCAACCGATGAAACCATTTCAGTGAGTCCGGTTTTGGAGTCTCGACCCAGAGGGAGTTTATGAGAAGTTAAGAACAGTTTGAGTTCTGTTGCAATGTTGGGCTTTGAAAGATCGAAACTTTCGTATCCAAGAAGCTGTTTTTCTATCTGGGATAGTTTCTTTTGAGATTTGTCGATTTCTCTGAGGATTAACGAAACTTGCTCTGAGATGAGAGAGAATCTTTTGTGTGGTTGATGAAGTTGTTGTTCGGTTTGGTTGAGATTTGGTGAAGAAGTGAAAGCGTAAAGAGCGAAGAGATTGGTGGTGATGACAGACAAGATCATGAGAATGTTGAGTGCTGAAGAACAGATTGTTGGTGTTTTGAATCTTGCTGTTCCATCACCGATTTTCAAAGAAACAGAACCCATTGTTGGTACGAGAAAGAGAAACGAAAGACAAAGGTTTTTACGAGAAACGGAAGATTGTCGGTTTGGATTGTTTCACGTGAGTTTTGTTGTGTATTATTGTGTTGTCTTGTTGTGTCACATTGAAATTGAGATTTTCAGAGTCACTCTAGTTACAGAGTTCAGTGTCTGTAGCTCGATATATTAAATTTAAATTGCTTTTTATAAATGCAAAGAGACGTTTTCTTTTAAATTGATACAACTTTGATTTAGACAAAATTGAATGTATTTGTCAGGAGAGTTAGTATTTCTTAGGTACACTATATATTTTCTATGAGTTAAAAAGTATTGTCACTTTTCTCCCATAAAAATTTATTATTTAAATAATGTGATATAATTTATTTAAAAATTAATTAAAAAAATCGAGTTATAATACGAGTTTTGTCTGAATTCATATTATACGTCAATCAAATTATTATTTATAAAGTTTAAATTTATTCTTCAATTGATTAACATTCACATAATTACAAATATAAGATAATAATATACACTAACTTTTAAATATATTAGTATTTAAAATCGTATAATCAATTCTCTAACTTCAATTACGTAAAATAATAACGAAAGAAATATTTAAAATATGAACATTAAAATAAACAATTTACAATTGATATTTCATAAATATGTTCATATCTACCCATAAATATATACTTGCAAACACATTCAATATTCATTTTTACCTACTTATCAATCAATGAACACACTATTTTTACTTGAAGTTTATATATTACCTTACAAAAAATTATCCAAATTACCTACTTATCAATCAATCAACACACTATTTTCACTTCAAATTTGTATATTGTATTTCCAAATTACATACATCAAGTTTATGTATATCATCTTACCAAATTACCTACTTACCAAATTACTCATATATACCTTCAATATAATCTAGATGTTATGCACTTCAAAGATTATTCTATAAGTAGTAATGTAAATAATTTAATAACTCTATTAGCTTTATATATATATATATATATATATATATATATATATATATATATATATATATATATATATATATATATATATATATATATATATATATATATATATATATATATATATATATATATATATATATATATATATATATATATATATATATATATATATATATATATATATAAATTTGAAGTTGTCATTTAGTTATTAAAAAATTTTAAAACAAATTTGATCTAATAATTTTTTATTATCTATATATTAAACTCTCAAAAGCTAATAAATATCATGATTTGATAAATTGCAACAACTCAAAATCCATACAAACAATGACACAATGATTTCTAGCTTAATTCATTTGTAATGATGCATTTATCAAATAACACTACTTATCTTGATGAAATTTGGAATTATTACTCTTCTTGAGGTATTGTGATTTTTATGGTGCAAATAGATCGTTAACATAAGATGACGCTGAGTGTAGTAGATGATAATAAAAGAGTTAAGTTAATGTTTAAAGTCATAGATGACACACATTTATCCACCTAAAACTTTAAGGTGATAGGTAAGTGTTTAAGTCTTCACATTTTTATTCAATGTGAAACTATTTTCTCACTTACTCATATTTATTATATTATCATTGAGAAATCAGCATTGAGAAATTGTTTTCCAAGTGTTTAAAGTTAAGTATGCTTGCAGGGCCTGGTCCAACAACATATATAAGGTCATTATAAGAATTTGAATGTAACTAATGTATTAGTTAACTTTAAATATTGAATGTTCAAAAGTAATTCATTTAAAATACATTCAAAATATTTTTAACACAACTAAAGGTATTTTCTATACATTGGCCTTATCTTGTAGAGATTGTGCTCTATTACTAATGTAAAAGATTAGTTGGTATGTTATAATGAATTCAAGTGTCAAAAATTTTTCACTCTACAAATTAACAACAGAGACTAAAAGAAATTTTTCTACGAAAAATCGGGAGAATTCTGTTAAATGTCAAAGATCAATAAATAAATAAATATTTTACGGGAAGCCGAGGACTAAAAGAAGAATGATCTATATTTGTCGGGATAAAAATCATATTTGAGTCTTACTGGAAATGACAATTTTATCACACAAATTTGATTTTCTATTCATATGAAAAAACAAAAATAACTGAAAAGTGCTACAAACTTGGAAAGCATGCTTGTACAAACTCATATTGAATCTAACAATGACAAAAGACAATATTAAAAAAAAGCTTCTTATCTTTTCTAAGTCTACCATTCTACTGAGTTGGAAAAGTAAACAAATTTATTTATATAAATTGGTTTAAATGATATTCATTTTTTCAATGCATAGTCAATTTTTTATGTGAAGTTAGAAAGATTTTTTACCTGGCAGAAGACAAATGTGTTGAAAATGAGTGTGTTTAAGATTATATCAGCATTGGGACCCATGAGGAAAAAGTTCCATTTTCCCACTGTCTGAAAAAACCATATTGCCACAAACTCATACAATGTTTCTCCTAAGATACACACTACTGAGGAAATCACCTTTCCTTGCCACCGGTTCACACTTCATCGAATTATCGGTTCTTGCTCTCACTTTCAAACTCACCTTTGTATAATATTTGTTGGATTGAAAAGTATGTGACTTAGACTACTTGTAGCAGGGGTGTTGAGTAAATTTTCTAATAGTTGAATTGTTCTAATAGATTGTTGAATAAGGTGTTGAATGTGACATGAATTAATTTGTGTTGAAAACATACATGTTGAATGAGAAATAAATGAGGACCACTTATAATCTTTTCAAAATATAATTGGTTGTTGTGATTGTTTATATTTTTATCTCACCTAAATTATTTGGAGTCAATTATTTTATAAAAAAATAATTTTTTATTTATTTTTATTTTCACCAAAATTCATCATTTTTTTGTCTATAAATAGAACATTGGTTCATTTGATTTGGACAAAGAAAAAAAACTATTTTTTCTCTCTAATTTTTTTATTTAGTCTCCAATAAATTATTGTTTGTAGCTCTAAAAAATTTTAATTTAATTTCAATTGATAATTATTATTAATATATAATCATAAAAAACAAAAACATAAAAAAGAAAATAAAAATATGAAATAAAAGTGGTGGGGTAAGGTGTTGAATTTTATTAAACAAAACCATTATAGTGAGTAAAAGTTGAATGTGTGTTGAATTATTAGGTAGAAGAGAGAGAGATGATGTGGAGTGTAAAACATGGGAAAAATTGGTGTTGAATAATTTTGCCATTGTAGATAGTCTTACAGGAGAGAAAACCTCAACCCTGCCTTAAGAGTATAATCCTATAATAACAAAACAAAAATCAAAATACCTTCAACTTATTATTAACTCTCATACAAACAACATATAGTAAATTAAAAGTAACCATCAATAAATCATTACTATCATTTTAATATCCAAAGTTTGATAATATGGATCAGTATAATCGAGCTTGTTTTAATCGTCACAGTTGTGATTGATTGTACAGTGATATGTGATAAGTGCAAATTATAGTTATTTTTGTATACTTTTTGTTGCACTTATCGACTTTTTATTGTTAATATCGTTGAATAAACCCGATTTTTATATAAATGCATTTAGTTTATGTTTTTGTGTACATATGGTACCGTTTGATGTTTTTCCATTCATTTTGTAGGTATTGATGCGTATTTGGAGCATGAGCAATAAAGTGTCGAAGACACGGCTTCAAACGCGTGATTTTGAGCAACTCGTCAATGAATAAGACTCAAAATTAAAGAATAAAAAATCATCAATTTGGTTTATATTTTGTCATTGTTAAAAAGAGAATTGAATAAGCTTTCCAGCGCTTCGAACCGGGCGCGAATCGGAGTTACCGTTCAAAAGTTATGGCCGAAACAGTGCAGAATACTGTGCTGATTTTTCAACCTTCTGTCATCCGTCGCCGGGCGAAAATTTTGGTCGCCGGGCGACACTAGGCGAGATGTAGCGTGGGGAAAACGTTGTTTTGGTCGTCGGGCGATCCTGGACATTCAGAAATGCGTATTTAGGACCAAAAACACATTTTTTGGGTATGGTTTTGGATATTTTTGACCCCAACTTCATCAACCTTCATTTTTGGATAGGATTAGCTTAGAAAACAACATTGAAGCTTGCATACGGATGTTCCGGGGTGGATTTCTCATCAATCGGAGCTGACAAACTAGTAGATTTGTGGTTCATTTCTCTTCCTCTTTGTGTATTCTTTATGTGTTGAGTTTGTACATGTATTTACTCTGAACTTATGTATATTTGTCGCTCATGATGTTATATTAAACTTGCTTTATAAATCTTTGTCGATTATTATCTTAGATTTTTGCTTTGTGCTAGGGATTTGAGTTGTTATAGATATATACTGCTTAGATTCTTATCTAGGATGATTATCTGTTAGTTTCTGAAATCTAGAGAGAGATTTAGAGTGACATCTACTTGGGTATCAGAGCTTAATGCCTCTGTGTGGTTGTGTTGTGCTGAGAGATCGTCAGTGTGATTACATAAGTTGTCTTATGTGTTGTTGAGGAGGTAGAGAGATTATTTCTTTGGTGATATAGTCGGTCTTTCAATTTGGGTTAGAAATTACTTAGGTTGTGAGTGATACGTGGTGACATTGATGAGTATTGTTAGATTGCGTATACCTGATCGATAAATTTAAATCTGTGATGAGTATATTATATCCAGGCTTTATAAGTTCTTCCTTAGTTTTTACTTTTGTTTACATTTATTTTTTGTTGATAACATTTTCTTTACAAACCCATTCAACCCCAAACTCATTAACAATGATTTGTCAAACGACAATTCAATAACCAATCTCTGTGAACACGATAAATTCTCGGATAAATATTTCCAATTTTTTTTGTTGCGTGTCGCTATAACACTCCAATAAAATGGCGTTGTTGTTGGGGATTGGTTCTATTGTCTTCGCATTGCGATAATTCTTTTGTTTTTGAGTTTTGTAATTAATGTATATGTTGTATAGAAAT